ATATACATGTGGAAAATATACATGTGGAAATGTACATTTCTAGTAACAAACAAATATAATGCAGGATATTATTGTGCAAGAATGGATTATTCAATATTAAATAGAATATGAATGTAAAATGTACAGGGAAAACTGTGAAAAACAGTGAAAAACAGTGAAAAACAGTGAAAAACTGTGAAAAACAGTGAAAAAAAGTAAAAAAACAGGGAAAATCAGGGAAAAAAAGTGAAAAACAGGGAAAAACAGGGAAAAAAAGTGAAAACAGTGAAAAAACAGTGAAAAACAGTGAAAACAGGCAAAACAGTGAAAACAGTACAAACCTGATGTCCCTTCTCTCTCTTTTCAGGTCCAGGCCAAACCGGAGAAGAAGCCAGGCACACCTCCACCGACTCCGGCTCCGGCCCTGGCCCCGACCACACCGACCCCCCCCCCCCGCGCTCACCCAAGCCCCCCCCCGGCTCCGGTGATCGTCCACCCCCCCGCCGCCCCCCTGCCATCAACATTCCCAGGTTCTACTACCCCCGGGGGCTCCCTGCCATGGGCCCGGCCCCCGGCCACGACGCCACCATCGCTGCCATCGAGGCGGCCTACACTGAGTTCGAGGAGGAGAAGGCGGACATATATGAGATGGGCAAGATCGCAAAGGTCAGCAGTTCAACAATAGACATTGCAATGTTCATAATCCTAGAACATCCCAGAAACACTCTTTACTCCTGCTTTAATAATAATAAAGCTTTATTTATATAGCACTTTTCATACAACACATGCAGATCAAAGTGCTTTACAAAATGACACATCACATGTTAAAGAACTTTAAAAGGTACATACAAAATATAACATTTGATCAGGTTAATAGACACAAGGAGGTAAAATGTATGATAATATAAAATAAATCATGGTTTCTCTCTGACAGATAAGACACAAGACAACTGAGTCGATGCAACAATATAAAATATAAAACCCCATAAAACAAAGTGAACATATAGGTACAACAGAAATACAAATAAAAAGATTATGACCTATAAAATAAAGGTAGGTAAATAATTAAGACTAAATGTTATCATCCTTATGAACCTGCTCTGAAGTATGAAGCATCAGAAATATGAAAAGAACAGCATCAATATTTCTTGGCAGTCATATGTAAGATTAACATCTTGCTACCAGACACATTTATTCCATGGAGACATATTGTTCAGAATATCGCTGCCCACACATTGTCTGGTTAATGCAGTGATGTAACAACAACATATTTCTAAGCAGTGTGATCTTTAATTTTGGAAAGAAAACACTGTGTTTTGATGGTTTTTCAGAAATATGAAATATGAGATATCGCTGCCCACACATTGTCTGGTTGATGCAGCGCTATTTTTTTAATGCACTCTTTCCTAAGCAGTCTTATCACCAACTTAAAAAAACCAACTCTGTGGTTTGAACAACATGCGATTGTTTTTCCGGGTAAGTGAATGGTTGTATTGTCTTTCTGTTCAGGCATGCGGGTGTCCACTCTACTGGAAGGGCCCCATGTTCTACACAGCAGGCGGTGAGAGGACGGGCTTCGTCTCTGTTCACTCCTTCGTTGCAACCTGGAGGAAGTAAGAGAGACCTCAAGTTCATCAAGTCCTACACATCCTAAGTCTTATCAGTCCATTTTAACTGTCCAAAACTGTCCTCTCCTGCAGGTTGTTGCACAGTTGCCACGACGATGCGTCAAAGTTTATCTCGCTGCTAGCCAAACCCAGCTGTAACTTCCTGGAGCAGGAGGACTTCATCCCTCTGATGCAGGTACAGTTTAATCAACATCAATCAATCGTAGTTTCAGGTTGCAGAGGTGGGAAGTAGTGGAGTACAAATACTTCGTTACTGTACTTAAGTACATTTTTCTAGTATCAGTACTTTACTCCACGACTTTTTACTTTTACTTCTTACATTTTGAACACAAATACCTGTACTTTCTACTTCTTACATTTTCCAAACAGGCTGGTTCCTTTAGTCTGAATGTGTGTTTGGTGCGTGATCATTATTCTTTAGAGTCATTGCGTGCCTATTGATTTGAACACGATCCGTGTATCCATCATTTCCTGGTCTTCTCTAAAGAAGAGGGACCAATGGAAACGTTGTCATGTTGCCGTTGTTCAGCATGGAAACATTCATTAGCTAACAATTACATTATTGTTCTGTTAATATGAAGGGAGGTCAGGTACTCTTTAAAACAGCTGGGAGTTATGGGTACTTTTTACTTAAGTACATTTCAAAGCCCATACTTCTCTACTTTTACTTGAGTAAAGAAGTTTAGTCAGTACTTACTACCTCTCGCCACCTGAACAGTTTCTTCCCCTCCGCTACCGGCCTCTTAAACAAGGCCCGGCCCCCCCACTGACACATTACCTCTGCCACATCATAGACTATATGCATTACATTAATGCACACAATGTTCATACTCCTTTCTGCACATATTCATATTTCACATTTCATAGTTTATATTTTAAAATTCGTTTTAATACAATTCTGTTTCCATGTAAATTACTGCTTTATTTCATTTGTATTGCTATTTAACTGTATTTTATTACGGTGAAAAATATGTTTTGTTTTATATTAGATTTCTTGTTTTTTATATTTTATGTATGCACCATGACATTAAGTCAAATTCCTAGTATGTGCGAACCTACCTGGCAATAAACCTGTTTCTGATTCTGATACTTCTACTTTTACCAGAGTATTTTCAAACGCGAGTATCTGTACTTCTACTTGAGTAAAGGATGTGTACTTTTGCCATCTCTGTCAGGTTGTATCAAAGCTCTTCTCTCTTTACATGAAAGAACCACAAAACCACATTCATGCATTTGCAGAAATAAAGAGGATGATGTACAGTAAAAGACAAAGGATTGTATTTTGAGATTTGAAGAGCATTATCTTATAAGGATATATAAAAAGGAAATAAACTACATACTTAAATAAAACGACAAAGATAAAAAGATATGGATATACTAAATACAAGACATGTAAAGTAAACCTAAGAATTTTACACGCAAGACAGACATTACACTCTCTCCGTGCTGTCTTCTGTATTTACCATCAAGACTGTTACGGGCCGTCCACACTACAGCTTCGACAGCTTCAAAAACGGTTTCTCCCCATTCACTTTGAATGGGGTGACGTCACTTTTCGCCGAACTGCATTGTGGGAAGCAGAGCGGAGCTTTCCTGGCGTGTCAGGCTGCAAAAGTTGAGCAATGTTCAACTTTTGAAGCTTCTGAAGCTTTCGGTGGAAGCGTCAGCCAATCAAATCATATGCCAGTACAAGCTCTAGCCAATCAAACCGCTGCTTGTGTGTCAGGGGCGGGAGATTCATGTGATTGGTTGTTGGTCGAGCTTCAGACACGCCAAGCTTTTTTTGAAGCTGTAGTGTGGACGGGCCGTCAAACACCTGAACTGTTGTAACAACATCCATAACATTCATCTGCTACTTAGTAATTATTTATCTATTTATCTAATATATCATTCCAATAACTTGTATATAGACTCGTATTGCACTATTCCACTTTTTCTTTTCTCACTTTTTTTAAAACCATTTTTATTTTTGTATTACTTTTAATATAGTATATTTTAATATTGTTTTAATATTGTCTGCTTATCTGTATTATTGTGTTGCATTGTTGGAGAGGCCTGTGACCTAAGATTTTCAACGACATAATTACTCTGTAGCTATGTTAGTTTGACAATAAAGAACCTTGAACCTTGAAGTCGTATAAATGAAGTTTTGTTTCCTGTTTGTCTCATCAGGACATAGTGGACACGCATCCTGGGCTCACCTTTCTGAAAGATGCGCCTGAATTCCATTCCCGCTACATAACAACGGTAAATGGCATGAAAACATCAGATACACTTTTGTTTCATTTGATTACTTTCGTGTATTTCAATCTGACAATAGGACTACTAACATCAACATTGTATCAGTCCGCTGTGTTGGGTATTATCGAGCAACGTCTTTATTTTGATTATTCGTGTATTATTCTTTTTTTTTAAACATGTATTTATTAATTTTTTACATTTTTCACATTACACACACACAACTGAACATTCCCCAACATTAGACATATGGCAGATTACAAAATAATGCTACAAAATAAATAAAATAACTAAATAAAAAGTGTACAGTTACTAGAAATCAGTTTAACGTACAGACCAAGAATATAATTACATTAGAAAATTAACAAATTCAACAACAAAATTGAGAGTTTTAATGTACTTCTAATTTATTATTTCCATTTAATTATACTTCTACTTCTGTCCTTTAAACTTTTACCTTTTGAATCCATTCAACACGTGTGACCGCTTAAGTTACTAGCTGCTTTATAAATCACTTATTTTACAGATGTGTCATACTCAACATTCCATGAAGATATAAAATATGAGGTATTGTACCGTCAAAAAAAGATAAAACCACCGCTGCAACCACTGTGCAAAGCATCGAATCAAAGCCATCAGTATCAAATATCTGTGACATCTCAGAATTTTGTGTGTGTGTGTGTGTGTGTGTGTGTGTGTGTGTGTGTGTGTGTGTGTGTGTGTGTGTGTGTGTGTGTGTGTGTGTGTGTGTGTGTGTGTGTGTGTGTGTGTGTGTGTGTGTGTGTGTGTGTGTGTGTGTGTGTGTGTGTGTGTGTGTGTGTGTGTGTGTGTGTGTGTGTGTGTGTGTGTGTGTGTGTGTGTGTGTGTGTGTGTGTGTGTGTGTGTGTGTGTGTGTGTGTGTGTGTGTGTGTGTGTGTGTGTGTGTGTGTGTGTGTGTGTGTGTGTGTGTGTGTGTGTGTGTGTGTGTGTGTGTGTGTGTGCAGCAGAAAAACGTGCTTTAGAAGAGAAAGGTTTGCTGAGTATAAGTGCAGAGAGGATCGTCACGGAAACACTGAAGCCCCCCCCCCCCCCCAAAAAAAAGGGACCCCGACCCTCCACATACCCATATTAAGACACTTCCTTCAGTTTAGGCCAGCTCACTGGCTACTGTATGACACACAGAGGTGGGAAGTAGTGGACTACTTAAGTACATTTTTATGGTATCAGTACTTTACTCCACTACTTATTATTCTGACGACTTTTTACTTCTTACTTATTACTTTTTGAACACAAATACCTGTACTTTCTACTTCTTACATTTTCTAAACAGGCTGGTTCCTTTAGTTTGAATGTGTGTTTGATGCGTGATCATTATTATTTAGAGTCATTGCGTGCCTATTGATTTGAACACGATCCGTGTATCCATCATTTCCTGGTCTTCTCTAAAGAAGAGGGACCAATGGAAACGTTGTCATGTTGCCGTTGTTCAGCATGGAAACATTCATTAGCTAAGAATTACATTATTGTTCTATTAATATAAAGGGAGGTCAGGTACTCTTTAAAACAGCTGCTAGGTATGGGTACTTTTTACTGAAGTACATTTCAAAGCCCATATTTCTCTACTTTTACTTGAGTAAAGAAGTTTAGTCAGTACTTCTACTTTTAGAAGTATTTTAAACACAAGTATCTGTACTTCTACTTGAGTAAAGGATGTGTGTGCTTTTGCCATCTCTGGTGACACATTAATAGCCCTGGGGGGCCAGTCCATGTACCAGGAAATGGGTGTTAATCCGCTCTTTACTGAGCCGAAGTGTTGTGTTTCAGGACAGAGAGCACGGCCCCCCTCGTTTCCATGGTATGCTAAAGACCTGTCTGACTCGTATTGTGAATGAGGACAAGAATATTAGTTGTAGATTGAATTGTGGGTGGGTCTTCCTCATGGAAAGATGAGGCCTACAGTTAAAACAGCCGGATGCCGGGGCCTGGAAAGATCCCATGTGAGTTTCGAGCTATTTTCATAGAGTCTGTCCAGCCTGACAGCTCCGGGTCAGAGTCAGACCTTTCGTTCTCGATCTATTTTTAGACCCCCATTAGCCAAAACTAAAACACATTTCACAGTCCCTCCACTCACTCAGCTATTCAAATATCTTAAGCTTTATATTTTGACTGAAAATGTAAAACTGTTTTGGCGTGTGTTTTCATTTTCTCTTGATTTCTATTCTTATTTATTATGTATGAAGTGTTCATGTGCTTTAATCTTGTGTTTCATTACTGCTCAACTAACGTTTTTATTATCTTTGCTTTTTAATGCCATTTTATAATGTGTTTCCGCTGCACTATTTCTTAATGTCTTTCAGTTTTGTAAGGCACTTTGAATTACCTTGTTTTGAAAGGTGCTGTATAAATAAACTTGCCTTGCCTTAGCCTTTTAGGACAAAAGCAGTCATGGAAACAGTCGAGGCAAATATCTGACTATATATAATGCTATATTTGGTACATGGTTTGATTTTGTGTCTTTTGGTGAACTGATATCTTTATCCTCTGCTAATCATAGCCTCTTTTGACACTCTGTTATCCCAGGTGATCCAGCGGATATTCTACGTGGTGAACCGTTCGTGGACGGGTCGTATGACCATGATGGAGCTGCGCAGGAGTAACTTCCTGCAGACCTTGGCCCTGCTGGAGGAGGAGGACGACATCAACCAGATCACAGACTACTTCTCCTACGAACACTTCTACGTTATCTACTGCAAGTTCTGGGAGCTGGACACTGACCATGACCTCTACATCGACCCCAAAGACCTGGCCAGATACAATGAACACAGTAAGGACCACTCAAAGAGTCCCGACTGGAACACATCCAGACCATACACATCTACAAATGTTTAAACTATATCAAGAAAGAATCCTTAAAATCAAAATAGATATGTATAGGATGTATAGATTATAAAGAGGCATATTTGTTATTTATTTTATGGCTATATAAAAACATTTTGGCCAGTAAATAATCAGAGAGAGACTGTTTTAGACATTCCCTTGCGTATCTGCCACTTGTTCAGCTCTGACTAGCTAATGTAGAAACGACAGCTGTTTGTCTCAGACTCAACGCTCTCTGATGTGAAATGCATTACACCGTTAACTACGTAAAATTACCACTTAGCCACATTTAAATGAACTTATTCAGTATTTAAGCAAATGGTTGAACTGTATGCTCTACAGCAGTGATTCTCAAATGGGGGTACGCGGACCCCTGGGGGTACGTTGGGGTACTGCAGGGGGTACGTGACATAAAAAAAAGGTTAATTAAAAAAATAATCTTAGTAAAATAAGTTAAATAGAAAACACAATTTTATATAAAACATTCCTAGAACCACCAAGGGGGTCCTCATATAAACATGTCAAATGTGTGTATTGTATTGTATAGTTTTTCACAATAACATATTACTTACATTTATAAAACAATCTGTTATGTTATTTTTTTTCATGCATAAAATGAAAATATCCTTAGTTTGTTGTAATGCATACCACGAAGGAGTTAATACATCACACACTGAGGGAACATCACTATATTGTAATTATTTATATAGGCTTTTTCGATCAAAAAATGTCGGGATCGGTTAGGGGGTACTTGGCTGAGAAAATGTTTCAAAGGGGGTACATTACTGAAAAAAGTTTGAGAAGCACTGCTCTACAGTATGTTTGACAACAGTTTCCATTTGTTTGTTACATTTGCTTACTTTTCTCATTCTCTCCTGTGACAGCATCCTCAAACAGAATCATTGAAAGATTGTTTTCGGGGGCAGTTACTCGGTAAGTGGAAACACAGACATGAACAAACACAGTGGAGCTGATTACTTCACCATGATGGCAGTATTGAATGTGTCTCTGTTGTTTCCAGGGGTAACGCTGTGCAGAGGGAAGGCAGGATGAGCTACGCCGAGTTCGTCTGGTTCCTCATGTCGGAAGAAGACAAGAAAAATCCCACCAGGTGATTTACAATCGTTCGGTCCTGCGTGATTTAGCATCTGTCAGAGCATTTATTCTCCCCGCGTGTGTCTAATAGACATTTAGAATCCCAGCCAGATGTCACTTTATTTGCAAATGCACTTTTCCACCTTTTTAGTTTTGTCTGTGACTGTGGTGTGTAATTCATTGTGCGTTTGTTGTTTCTCCCTCCAGTATAGAGTACTGGTACCGCTGCATGGATGTGGATGGCGATGGTGTTCTGTCCATGTTTGAGTTGGAGTATTTCTATGAGGAACAGTGTGAGAGGATGGAGAGGATGGGCATCGAACCGCTGCCCTTCCAGGATTTGCTGTGCCAGATGCTCGACCTGGTCAAACCCGAGAGTTCAGGTTAGCGTCAACACTCGCTCTTTTTAAGAAAGTGGAATCTTGCTTCTCACCCTTGCTTTCCAAACTTCACACCTACTGTACGTCTGTTTGTGTATCTGTTGTTTTCTCCAGGTAAGATAACCCTTGGTGACTTGAAGCGCTGTCGGATGGCCCACATATTCTTCGACACCTTCTTCAACCTGGAGAAATACCTGGACCACGAACAAAGAGACCCATTTGCTGTGCAAAAGGTGAGCATTCACATCTGTATGTGTCATATACAGCCACATTGCAGGAGCTATCAATTTGAAGGGGAACACAGGATTTTGATTTCCTTCCTGCAAAAGAGAAAATCGTTTTTTTATAATTTTGTATACTTTTTAAAAATATAATAGGCAAGGCAAGTTTATTTATATAGCACTTTTCAACACAAGGCAATTCAAAGTGCTTAATAGACTACTTTGACTGATTTACTCCCATTATATCTCCATTAATATCACTACTAGACAAATGGCTACAGGGGTTTGATACATCCACATTCCCAGGTTTCATTTTGTATTGCTATGAAGTAACTACTCTGTTTGTGCTTTTTCTTGTGTCTTGTAAAATAAACTATGAACTCCTCTCTTTCCTGTAAAAGACTGATCGTTGCTGTGTATGTGTTGTTTCAGGACATTGATAGTGAAGGTCCAGAGCCCTCGGATTGGGATAAATATGCCTCAGAAGAGTATGAGATCCTGGTGGCAGAGGAGAATGCAAACGAGCAGCTTCACGAAGGGTACGACACACACACACACACACACACACACACACACACACACACACACACACACACACACACACACACACACACACACACACACACACACACACACACACACACACACACACACACACACACACACACACACACACACACACACACACCATGTATACATTACTTCAGTGGACATTACATTGACTTAAGGCCCGGACACACCAATCTGACAACAAAGAACTGACACAGACGGACCCCGACTGTTGCGTCGTCTCTGCGTTTTGGCCATGTGTCGCACTGGAGCACACCACAAAGACTTCATCCGACGGCCAAGAAGCACGTACGAACTGCGCATTCGTGAGTGGCAATAACTCTCCTTACCAGCAGGTGGCGGTAGTGTGTATTCGTCATTCAAAAGAGGCAACAACCGGAACACAGACTGCATGATACACCGAGAGAAGAAGAACAGACTGCGTGATTTAAACAAACAACAGTGTGTGCGTTCCATTTTCACTCTACAGCGAGAAGCTTATGGGGCTTTCCCGAACCTGTGTCGAGAGCTGGAGTTAAATTAAATCTCAGATTTGCCTTCTTAATAGTTTGTTTAGGTCCCTCACTTCCGTTTAGCTTCTCATGCACTGATTCGCTAGCTGAACAGCCAATCAGAGTGATTTATTTTGCCGACTGCCTTTGACTGACTGCCCGGCTGAAAAGACCCGACGGTGCGGGACACACCAATCTGAGTAGGGCGTGTCGACGCTCATCGTCGGCCTGACGCCCACCGACGCCGATAATCGGCCTGGTGTGTCCGTGCCTTTACATGCATTTCCTGGAGACGTATCCTAACCTTAACCAACATATGCCTAACCCTTACCGTTACCCTTACCCTAACCCTAACCAAGTCTTCACCCTAAAATGAATGATTCCCCTCATGGGGACCTCCATTTTGTCCCCATAAGGGAAGCCAGTCCCCACACGTGACTGTGTAAACAGATTTAGGTCCCCACAAGGATAGTAATCCTATGCCACACACACACTCTCACACACACACACACACACACACACACATAAAACTCACCTTTTCTATCTTGCCTCCACCTATCTTAACACTTTTTACTTTTGTTGTTATTTTGTTTTACTTGCTTGTAAGCACTTTGAGCACCAGGAAAAGCGCTTTATAAATGTAATGTATTATTATTATTATACATGCCTATGTGCATCTCCAAGTATTGAAATACACAATACAATATTTTGATATTCTGGTATCTGAAGATGAGTTTGTTTGTCAGGACAGTTAAACTATAATTCAAATTAACCAGTTTTGCTGTGTGTTGTGTTTTCAGGTCTTTTGATGATGACTATGAGTCCGAGGAGCTTCAAGTCTCAGGAGAGATTGGGAATAAAATGGAAAAACTGGTCATTTCAGACCTGTCAGCATAAAACTCTTCCCTGGATTCTTGGGTATTTTTCCTGGAAAAAAATGGATTGAAGGTCCCTTCAGAATGGAGCACCAAAAGATGCATGGACGTAAAGACAGAGAGAAACATCTGTCTCTCGATGACTCTGGAGCCTCCTCAGAGCAGGCTCATCGTTTTTCGTGTGTTTGTGTGTGACCGTAAACCAGTACTGTTCTGTGTCTGGTGCAATATCACTTCTGTATTTATACAGAGAACTGTTTCACTGCCTCGTGCTCTTTGATTCGTCCGAGAGAACAAAGCGAAAGATGGTGGGGAGAAATGTACTATAAGCTCTTAAAGTAATCAAGACGAATAATCTCTGTGTACTTATAATGTAAATGTGAATTTTTATACAGACAATCCTGCCAAAAGACAATCATCTGAAGGTAGACAGACAGAGACCTAGAGTTACACAAACAGTGTCCTAGTTGGATAAATATGGACACAGAAATGGACAATTATAGCGATAGGAACTGAAAAAGAGCAGTCATCTGCTCAGTAATGATACATCCAGACAGACACTGCCATCAGAAACCTGCTGCCCGCACAGCATGTCACTGCGTTCCTTGTTAAAGGAAGTTGTTAAACCTCCAGTCCCTTCAGGGAGGAATCATGTAACAGTACCTCTCTGTGGCCAGTCTGTGTCACTGCAGGACATCACAGTCACTCGGTGCATAAGGGCTGGCCAACTTCAAGAGAGGGAGTTCAGTTTACTGCACAGCCTGAGCTGCTCTATTATTAGTGCAGCACTATCAGCGCTCCACCTCTGGACTCCCTTTGCACTTATTTTTAAACCCTAGAAAAAAAGTGTCTGACCACACAGTCAGGCCACAGTGAGACATATGCGTGTTGACAAACATATCAAACTCTCTGGTAGAGTTTCCCACACATTTCCACCTGTAACATTTGCAATAATGCAATAGCATAGGAAATGTGAGCTCTTCCTGTCAGTCTCATGCAATTATTCAGCACAGTGTTTTTCTCCCTTCCTTGTTGATTATGTACAGTACCTGGTTATTACGTTGATCTGTTTCTGAAATTGATGCCAACATTTTTATTTGTTCCGCTTAAACATCTCTTTGTCATGAAACGTTTGATAATGAAACTTTTTTTACACACCACTGCCTTTTTAAAGGGACACATCCCCCAAACAATGGCTACTCTCAAACCTTAGGTATTATCTAGCCTGCAGATAGTTTTGGTTTGATTTGAAAAAGTGTTAGGAATCTTTGCGATTTCACCTCAACCATATTACAGTGCAAATAAGGGGAATTTAGTTATATTTAAGCTACTTCATTTTTCTAGGCTTTTTGCAACAGCATCATTTTTTAATTGTTATTGTATTTGCAGAAATCTCAGAGATGGATACATTACAATTCAATCAAATCAGAACTGTTCACATACATAGATATACTTGGTTAAATGTAGCTTTTTAATTGGAATAAAACGACCCTCCATCACTCCCAGAGACAGCTGCATGTGAACACTGCCCTTACTGTAATAGCTAGCAGTGTGTGTGTGTGCTCAGAAATCATAATACAGGGGTGTGTTTTAGGAGCGTGTGATGTGTAGCTCTCAGTTTCGGGCTGATAATACGTCATAGTTGTTGCCATTGGATGTGATTCCCAGGGTCAGAGTGTGTGTGCACGCTAGTATAACTCTTTAATTAGGAAAGGGACAGCTTTTGTACACAATGGCTTCAAATTCACTGCCATATACCTCCTTCACAGACATTTACTGTACACACACACACACACACTCACACACACACACACACACACACACACACACACACACACACACACACACACACACACACACACACACACACACACACACTTTAGTTGCTATAGAAAGGGAGAACGCTAGTGGATGCTGTAAGGCCTTAAGGACCTTAAGTTGACCCTGTTATGCTCTATTGCCATTGTAAATGTGCCTGACTGTGTATTAAATATATTATTATAATAATAACTAATGATAAGCCATTATAGATATAACGGCTGCGATTTGTTGTTGTATTTTGATGGTTTGTATTGCTGTGCCACTGTGTGGCTCGGGATAAGGGGGGTAAATTATGATGGATGTATGTATGTTTGTGTGTTCGATGCACGGTGGATATCATCAGAAGAAAATGAGGATCTGACAATCACAACATATGACAAACATCTCACGTGGAGACCTCTGGGACTGATGCTTTTTCTCGCTGTGGCGACACACACACACTCACACACTCCCAGGGAGACCAGCTGATGGAGACAGTGTTTGAGAAGAACTGTTGAAGGCATTGGGACTCCGATTGTGTCCTGATGCAGCATCAAGCCGGGAGAAAAGCCATGCAAAACTTTTACTTTGAAATGAAATCTCTACTTTGATATGCAGACGGAAGACTTTTATTTTGATGTACTTCCTCTGTGCAGAGGAGACTTGAGTAGGCTGACACGTATTCAAATACTGATGATTATTGTATTGGCATGGCTTTCTTTCTTTCTTTCTCTTTTTCTTTCTTTCTTTCTTTCCTTTTGTTCTTTTTTCCTTACCAATGTCCTTCTCTTCTTTCCCTTTTCTTTGCCCAGCGCTGTCATTTGTTGCTTTTTTTGAAGTTTAAAAGTTTAAATAAAAATATGTTTCAAGAATAATAACTCTCCTTGAAGGTTTTTTACGGTTGCCTACGTACAACCCCCTCCTCTCAACTCAGACACACAAACAAGTCTCACACACACGTTCGTCATCCAGCCCTCCTTGTGTACACACACAGTGAGTACAGTAAGTGTGTTTGTCTGCACTGAGGCTCTGCAGAGTGTGCTTTACAGCCTTTTAAAGTTCTGAGGGTCTGGCGTTCTGACCTTCTACCTGAAGGATGATTTATTTGGCATCCATATCAAGAACTTCAAACTAGAACATGATATCCTCTTTCAAAAACATTTAAATTGATACTGGTAACATTTCAAGGTTGGTGAGGTTTTTAGAGTTTGTTTTTTGTCCTCAAGTACAAGGGATGATTTAATGCCAGGGTACTCGACCCTCATGTCTTGGACTGCTACTGGCATACCTGACATCAGCAGCTCTGTACCGAATCACTTTCGTCACTGTTGTCATGAGAAACATTGGACCAAAACAGGAAGTCCTGAATTTTCTTTGTCTCATAGATGTTTTTGTCAATGTAATTTGGTACAATTCATTTGTGGGGCTTTTCAAGCGGACCCTGGTACTACTAAGTGGGATGACTTCTTTACCAGTATCACCATCCTCATCCTTCCCCTCTTTAGTAGAATATCATCTGTGTCCTCAACTATAGCAACTATAATCAGGCAACTTGTAATGTCTCTACCAATCTATGTTGTTAATATTGAGATACTTTACAGGATAACTTTAACATTTGACTTTCTGGAGGCAATACAGGAGATATAAGAGAATCAACAAAGTCATAATGATTCATCGGATAAAAGTCAGTACCACATTTCATGGCAAAGTGTCCAATAGTTGTTCAGGTATTTACTGACATTTTCATCCTTAAAGCCATGACACTAACATGTAGGGATGTAACGATATATCGAATATCGCCATATCGCGGTGAATAAATGTCTCAATACCGTCGTGAGACTGACAAAATCTACCGCGATTTAAAAAAAAGAATTAAATAATTTTTTTTTTCCTTTTTTTTTTTTTTAAACCTCTATTTAACCAGATGGTCCCATTCAGATCATCGATCTCTTTTTCAAGGGAGACCTGTCCAACATGGCAGAAAGTAGGTTACAACATGAACATACAACAACAGATAACACAAAAGGACCACGTATTTACAGGGCTACATGCAGTGGTGTAATGGGCGTTGGACGCGGGGGTACGCCGTACCCCCACTTATTTGGAGCATGATCTTTTTTTTAATAGTCTAATAAATATAAAATAATTGCCAGTCTTATCAGTTGTAAGTGTGTATTTGTTCTAATAATGACAAAAACATAATACATTTCACAGTAATTATAATACAAAATAAAAACGATTTCCTAAAAAAATGATGATTCGTCATCACGCTCGTGACCCTGCAGCGAGCTGGGGGTGTGTCAGTGACACACCCACGGCCAGCTCGCCGCCCGCCAGTTTTGCGGCAGCTCTTTCCCTCAAGAACGCTAACGAAAAATGGCAGGCAAACATTTTTTACTTGACTTATTTTCTAAAAAGAATATAATTCACAAGAAGAAAGAGGCTAGCAGCACCGAAGCTACAAGTGAAGCTGCTACTAGCACTACATCACCAGAAGAGCCGCCAAAAGACGTGGATAATGCTAGCACTAACGTTAACGTTAGCTGCGCTAGCAACGTTCCCCTGGCTCACCTTTCCCAGAGGTATGGACGGAGGAGATGTAGCGGAGGAAACAAGAGGCATGCCCGTGGATAGACTGCAACGCTGGGAAACTGGGCTGCAAAGTTTGTTCATCCATTTCGGATGTATCGGTCTTCAAAACGCTGTGTGTGTGTGTGTGTGTGTGTGTGTGTGTGTGTGTGTGGTGTGTGTGTGTGGTGTGTGTGTGTGTGTGGTGTGTGTGTGTGTGTGTGTGTGTGTGTGTGTGTGTGTGTGTGTGTGTGTGTGTGTGTGTGTGTGTGTGTGTGTGTGTGTGTGTGTGTGTGTGTGTGTGTGTGTGTGTGTGTGTGTGTGTGTGTGTGTGTGTGTGTGTGTGTGTGTGTGTGTGTGTGTGTGTGTGTGTGTGTGTGTGTGTGTGTGTGTGTGTGTGTGTGTGTGGCGCTGTCTGCTTATTTGCAATATAGGCTAGGCCTAATCAGAATAATTTCAAGTCCAGATTCAATGTTGTTTGCATAAGTAGGCTATATTTTTGGTTTTGTTTATTTAATAAGTTAATTTCAGGACAACTTTGGGAATTTTGTTTGTTTTGTTATGAATTTTAAATAGATTTTGAAAGTATATGTGAGATAGAGAAGCAGCGCTGTCTGCTTAGTTGCAATACTGTAGCTCAGGGGTGCCCAACCTTTTTTGAACCGAGAGCTACTTTTAAAGTTGTCAGTCTGCCGAGATCTACCAGTCCAAATAGAGAGGCGTAGCCAATACTACCAGGTAAATACACACTTCTACTTGTATAAAACTGACCTTTGTACGATTAATACTTCATAAAATACTGCAGATGCTTTATCTTACCTCTTTCTAATCTACACACATACAAGTATTTAACTGAAGTTACACAACAGTGTTGTTGATACAGAGTTTGAGTTTATTCACACGTCACTACAGTGGGTAATGTTTTCAAGAAACATTGAACAGTGCTGCCACATATGATATGACACAGGAAAAAAGAAAAGACTCTGAACCCTTTCTTTGCCATTATATAAAAATAGTGTTGCTACAAAAGTAGCAGTTAGTTAGTTAGCAGTTAATTAGTTAGGCTTACTAATAAGACAACTCAGATCTGAAGCTACACAGGAATCTGCTGCAACAGTGCAATAAAAAAGACAAAATTAATAGAATCAAACCCTTTTTTTGTTGCATTTGAGTAGATTATAAAAAGAAATGCCTTTAAAATAGGATGCAAGCAACACTAGTTTCTTAACCTGAATTGATAATAGACTATAATCATTTTAAGTTTGCATTCTTATACCATTTTGTACAATAATTATAATGAATAAGTTCAAACAAACTAAAACTTACAGCTGATTAATAACGGTATCTAACTTGAGTTTTTATTATATCAAAAACCTGTTGAAATGCTACTGTTATTTTTACTGTCCCCCAAAAGCGCGTCGGCAGCCTCCAGGAATGCTTCTTACACAACTTCGCCGTCTTTGAAAGACTTCATGTGTTTCGCAAGAACGTGACTGACACGATAAGATGCTCTGGTAGCAGCCTTGCTCTTGTTGTTGGGCCTGGTGAAAATGGACTGCTGTGCATTTAGCTGTCCTTTCAGGCCCCTCCCCTTTTGGAGCGTAGGGCAGAATTAGGAGGGAATTCCGTCTCGTAGCGTTTGTGCACTGTTTTGAAATGCCGCTCCTAAATTACCCTTCTTCAATAAAGCCACGCTCGCATTGCAGATGAGACAGATGGACTTTGAATTGGAATAGATACAAAAATAATCATCCTCCCACTCGGAGTGAAAATTATATATTTTGGGCTTTCTTGCTTAATTGCGGTCTTGTGTGTGTGCGGACTGTCACTCCTGTTGACACGGACAATGTCAGCGAACTAGTGCACTGCCCACCAGCCACGCCCCGACACAGGGGTCACGCTGGCCAATCACAAAGCTTTGATGCGTTCAAGTGCATTATTCTGGCACAGGAAGATTATGTTATAGGACGTTAACGATAAAACTGAATATTGTTGTTCTATTTTTAGACACATCTCACGATCGACTGGTTGGGCACCCCTGCTGTAGCTTATGCAATTTAGGCCTATAAATTGTTTATGTAACTTATGTGCCAGTGTGTCCATGGTTTTGAGTCTGTGTGTGTGTTGAGCGCAGCGACGTCTGCTTTTTGCAGTACAGTAACTAAAGTAGGACTAAGCATACCGGTAGTTTCTGTGGACCTGTCTGCCCGTTTTGTGAGTGCACTGCGCGCGTGCGCACTTGTGTGGCATTGTTTGGGATGACCTGATTAAAATAGCGTCCCCCCAGTAAAAAAATCCCCACTACACCACTGGCTACATGTACATACCTAGAGACATTGACAAGTACCAACAGTAGCCTATATTTATATCTCGCCCTGTCAATAAGCCTCACCTTCTTGGCAAAAACGGTATTGTGTTTGAAGTGGTGGAGAGACAATGCACAGTTTTACCCACTGCTGTCACCCATGGCCAAAGCATATCTCTCTGTCCCAGCAACATCAGTACCAAGCAAAAGAGTTGTTTCCACAACAGGGGATATTGCAAACGCCCAAACATCCCAGCTTCTACCTGGAAATGTGGACATGCTCATATTCCTAAAAGATAACCTTGATGATGCTGAGTGAGTGAGTTATTTATTCTATTGCAGGGTCTGATTATTATATTGTTGACACTTTAAAATACTACTATCCTACTCAAATGTTGTACAAATCAGATTTATTATTTAATAAAGAAATATTCACATTTTTTTCCTTTATTTTTCAATATCGCGATAAATATCGTACCGTGGACTTTTTATCGCGATATTATCGTACCGTGAGTTTTTGGTATCGTTACATCCCTACATGGCTGAAGGCTAGGCCTCTACATCAATACATTTTTAGTCTTTAACTTTATTCTCATATTATACTATTATTCTCAAAGTCAAATTAAGTTCATATTTGAAGTTTGTGTCTCTACTGGGACATGTCTCCATGCTTTAATGTTCAAAAAGCTCTTTTTCTCATACTGCCTGTGCTGCAGCACCTCTTTTCACCCTCTGTCTGAAACCAGAGCCCAGTCTGCTCTGATTGGTTAGCTGGCCGGCTCTGTTGTGATTGGTCAACCGCTTAGAGATGTCTTTTAGCACATCATGTACGATGTGATGCAAGTAGCTCTTGGCCATTTTAATTTTTTCAAAGTAGCTCTCAGATGAAGAAAGGTTGGAGACTCCACTCTAGCCATGAACAGTCCGTCCCATAGACAACCATTATAAAATCTAAAACGGGCTGAAAATGTACCAAAACTCAAACTGATATGTCAAAAACTC